CCCTGTAGAATTAAATATTACACTAAGTCAATTTGAAATCCATCCTTTTTATTTCTTTCATGGGATTTGGATGCCACTGGCCAGATTGAATTCCATTTGTCACCTCTCTGCCATTCTGTCGAAGCCATACCTGTATATGATGTTTGGTGTCTGCATGCCAAATGTAGCAGGTTCCAGAAGTACATATCTCGGAGACATGTGCAACTGGAGAGAAAATTAGAGGGAATGCTGCTACCTGTTCAATCAAACTATTGATATCATTCTGGAATCAACTTCTAACCTCTTCACTATCAACTACTTGGCCATTGTCATCTGCAAATTTCCCAATCCTGCATCCCACATTAAAGTCCATCAAAAGTGGGAGCAGGAGTAAGCCATTCAGCCCCTCGATCCTATTCTGCCATTCAGTACAATTGTGGCGGCTCTCATCTGGGCATCAAATGCATTTTCCTGCTCACTCTTGAAAATCATTCAATCCTTTACTAATCAAAAATCAGTCTATCGCCTTAAATTTCCTCCATATCATTAATATCTACCATAAACAGTAACAGACTCAACATTGACCCTGGTGAGTATTGCTTTCCATTTACATGTCGACTATTATACTGCATCATTTTTACATCCAACTTACCCCATACCCCCTATAACCAGAGTAGCAAGTCATATTGGACTCAAAATGTTAACTCTGTCTCTCTCTCTCTCTATCTCTCTACAGTTGCTGCCAGACCTGTTGAATTTCTTCAGCATTTTCTGTGTTTTTTTTTCAGATCTCCAGCATCTGCAGTGTTTTGCTTTCATTTCGCTTCATTTGAAGATTATTTTAATACATCATCCCTTCTCATGGCTGGAATTTATTCCTTAACCAATAATACTACACCACAAATGTTTTATCATATCTATCATAGAGTCATATAGCAAGGAAACAGACCCTCTGGTCCAACCAGTCCATGCCGACCATAATTACAAACTAAACTAGTCCCACCTGCCTGTGCTTAACTCATATACCTCCAAACATTTCTTATTCACTTATCCAAATGTCTTTTAAACATTGGAACTGTACCGGCATCCAACAATTCCTCTGGAATTTCATTCCACACACAAACCACTCTCTGTTAAAAAAAAAACTTGCTCCTCATAAGTATTTTAAATCTTTCTCATCTCACCTTAAAAATATGTCCCTTAGTTTTGAACTCCCCCACCCAAGGGAAAAGACACTTGCCATTCACCTTATCTAAACCCTTCATGATTTTATAAACCTCTATAAGGTCACCCCTCAACCTCCCACACTCCAGAGAAAAAAGTCCTAGCTTATCCAGCCTATTTTTATATCTTAAACTCTCCATTCCCAGCAACATCCTGATAAATCTTTGCTGAACCCTCTCCAGCTTAATAATATCCGTCCTGTAACATGACGACCAGAACTGGTCACAGTACTCTAGAAGAGGAGTCACCAACATCTTGTAAAACCTCAACACAACATCCCAACTCCTACACTCAAAGGTCTGAGCAATGAAGGCAAGTGTGCTAAATGCCTTCTTAACCACCCTGTATACCTGTGATGCAAACTTCAAAGAATTATGTACCTGAACCCCTAGGTCTCTCTGTTCTGCAAAACTACCCAAGGCCCTACTTTTAATTGCATAAATCCTACCCATGTTTGTTTTACCAAAATTCAATACCTCGCATTTATCCAAATTAAACTCCATCTGCTACTCCTCAGACCATTGACCTAAGGGATCACCTGCCTGAAAACTCTCTGTCCAGGAATTTTGCCCTTTTTGTTTCTTTGTAAGCCAAGTTTCTGTGATAGCAATGAGATTGTGCTGCTGCATGGCTATCTGTGCTCAAATTTATTCCCTTGTGTTTGCATATTTAAACATGGCCAAATTCCTGTGCCATCTACTTTTTAACCTCTGGCCTTGTCTTGCAGATATCCTTGCTAATTTTCTGTCTCCCGTTCCCGGCTCTGAATTTCTACTCTCTGAATTTGTCCTGAGAACCTAGTTTAAACATTCCCCAACAGTTCCGGCAAATCATCTGCTAGGATAGCTATCCTGGTCAGATTCTGGTGTAGACTCTCTGACTTGTACAGGTCCCAAGTAGCCCAAAATCAGACCCAATGCTACAGAAATCTGATACTCATCCTTGCTACACCAGCTTTTCAGCCACATGTTCAATCACTCAATTCTCCTATGTCTATGCCTGTGAGCACATGGGAGAATTGAGTAATCCTGAAACTGCTGCTTCTGAGGTCCTGCCTTTCAGTCTCCTATTTAGCTCTTGGAAAATTGCTTTCAGCATCTCAGCAGCTATGTTATCCCAGTCATTGATACCAATGTGGAGCATGATTTCTGGCTGCTCGTCCACCCTGATATTGCCTGTGGCCGCACCATATCATCCTGGCACTAGGGAGGCAATATACAATTGAGAAGTCATGCCTACAGCCTCAGAAAGTCCTGCCTTCCTGGCTATTGATTCCTCTATCACTACTGCTCTTCCCCTCTTCTTCCTTGCTTCTTGTACAGTTGAGCTGCCTTTGGTGCCACAAACCTGGCTTTTGCTTTACTTCTCTGAGGAACCAATATCCTCAGCAGGACATCGGGGGACTCTTGCACTACCTGCCTGGTTCTCTGGATATATCTCCCATTCCCCTTCTGCCTCCACACTCCAGGCCTGCAGTGTGACCACCTCTCTGAAAGTACTATCCAGGTATCTCTTGGCCTAGACAATTCAGATTCCAGCCACCACTCAAGATCCAAAACCTTGAGCTCATGAGTTGGGTTAAAGATAAATGCTTGACAAGGCAAGGTCAAGAATTTTTTCAGGCTTGGGCTTCTGCCTAACACTGTTTATTAAGGCTAAATACAACAAATACATGGTTTCCAGGAATACACAAGGTTCTAGCTTACAGTTATTTTTTATTCATTCACAGGATGAGGGCATCACTGGCTGGGCAGCATTTATTGCCCAGAGGGCAGTTAAGAGTCAACCACATTGCTGTGGGTCTGGAGTCACATGTAGGCCAAACCAGGTAAAGATGGCAGTTTCCTTCCCTAAAGGACATTAGTGAACCAGATGGGTTTTTTCCAACAATCGACAATGGACTTGTGGTCATCATTAGACTGTTAATTCCAGATAGTTATTGAATTCAAATTCCACCATCTGCCGTGGTGGGATTCAAACCCGGGTCCCCAGAACATTATCTGGGTCTCTGGATTAACAGTCCAGCGATAAAACCACTCGGTCATCACCTCCTCAAGTTACATTATTGAAAGATGTTTCTATAAACACTACCATCTAATACTAGTTGATCTGCTCCAAGTCTTTCTTGCTCTCTTCTCTAACCCCACCCATATTGTGCTATTTATGCCCAGAGAGGAGCAGCACTGTGACATCATCACAATGTTACTCCAAGGGTCCTTGTAGTGATTGGAACCAGGGTCAGGTAGATCTCATTGACTATGCGATCCTTGATTGGGGTTGTTAACCTAGGCCAATCAGGGAGCCCTGGCTGACAGATATAAACAGGAGATTCAGAAAGTCTCCTCATTCTAGGGACTGGCTTTGAGCTGGCTGATCACAGCCCATGTACAGTGCACATGTAAATAAAGGGGTGATTTGGTGACAAGATACTGGCCTCTGTGCAGTTATTTCAGTCCTGAAGCCCATGCCTTCTCAGCAATATGAATTTAAACTAAAAATAATGGAAATAGAAAATTAACATTTAAGGTGATGATCCTACATTAGTCTCATAAACGTAAAAAAAGTCTCTCTCCCTCTCTTAGAAGAATGTTAGCTGTTTGACCTGGTGACTTTTCCGAGCTTGCTCCTATGTTGTGGTAACATTTCAGACTTGAAGCCTCCTCCCGATTTTGCTTCTGGCTGTATCGGACTATAAAAATGCAAATGTTCATGACTCATAGAAACATAGAGAATAGGAGCAGGAGTAGGTTATTCACCCCTTCCAGTCTGCTCCACCCTTCGTCATGGTCATCCAACCAAATAGCTTGTTCCTGCCTTTCCCCACAATCCCTTGATCCCCAAAGTGCTATATCCAACCCTTTCGTGAAATCACACAATGTTTTGGCTTCAAGCACTTTCTGCAGCAGTGAATTCCACAGGTTCCCTGCTCTCCCGTTGAAGAAATTTTAGGGGCCTTCTTGTGGCTCAGTGGTAATGTCCTCACCCCTGGAGCACGAGGCCTGTGTTCAAGTCCTACATGCTCCAGAGGCAGGCAGTAACATATCAGAAACAAAAACAGAAGTTGCTGGAAAAGCTCAGCAGGTTTGGCAGCATCTGTGGGAGGGTCAGCAGACCTGAAACATTAACTCTGATTTTTTCTTCACAGATGCTGCCAGACCTGCTGAAATTTTCCAGCAACTTCTGTTTTTGTTTCTGATTTACAGCATCCGCAGTTCATTCGGTCAACATCTCTGAACAGGTTGACTCGAAAAACACGCTAATAAAATTAAAGAAATTTTCTCCACAGATAGTAGGAGCTGCAGATGCTGGAGAATCTGAGATAACAAGGTGTAGAGCTGGATGAACATAGCAGGCCAAGCAGCATCAGAGCAGCAGGAAAGCTGACGTTTTGGACCTAAACCCTTCCGTCAGCCTTCCTGCTCCTCTGATGCTGCTTGGCCTGCTGTG